AGTAATGCATGCATTTTTTCTAAAAAAAATCTTTCTTTAGTGAAATTTTGCCGGGAATGGAGCTTTAAACATTAGTTTTTATCTAGGGACGTATTGAGTCTTCAGTGAGTTTAAATATTGATTACATCTTTCTTGTGGGATGAATGTAATTCTTGTTTGTTCAGATTTACTGTTGCTCTTTCTCAGACACTGCGCCTTGAGCACCAATTTTTGTGGTGATGTTTGTGCTTTTAATTATTAATAAGTACTTTAATATCAGGTTTTCATATTTCCAGGTTATTTGACTCGGTGCTCATAGTAAAAATGGGTAACCATTCTATTATTTATATATTTAACAAGTTGACTTCCAGACCTTTTTTAACGTTCCTTCCCGTGTGCCAAAACAGGTTTACATGTACAAACATGCTTTTTTTGAAATTTTATCTAGTCATATATCATCAACATGGTGTCTAATAAATTGGCAGGAAAATATTAGGGGACGAGTAAATTTATCACCAGCTTTTTGCATGGGTTTACATGTTCAGAGGGCAGGTACCTTGATTTATTGCTGACTACAATAAATTTAAAACCGGGAATTGATCTGAGTCTACTATATTTTTTACTCAATCTGATTCAGTTATTTAGTGTGTACGGCATAACCATGTACGGTTGTTTGCTTGGTGTTTTTCCCCTAATGTTTATGCTTTAATTTCAAATAATAAAAATAATAATTTACATAGTATTCTGTAGCGCATATTGCAGTGCCTTTATGCCTAAAAACAAGATTTTAAGTGAAATACTGAAAAAGAATCAGAAATTAAATACTCATCTTGTATTATCATGACATTTTTAAGTACCATGTAAAAATCATGCACTGGAATTTCAAGGTTGTTGTAGACAATGAGTACAAAGCAAACCTGACAATAAATGTCCTCCCATGAAGGATCGCTCTCTATCAAATTGTTAACATGGATTAATGTTCCTTTATATCAGTAATGAGAGGTGTAGAGATGTAGTCTACATTTGCTTGGTAAAGACCATTCAGTGAGAATTAGGCCTACAGTTATATCAAGGACACTAGCCACTGTACAGCATTATTCTACAGCATTCCTGCGTACTGGTAAAGCAAGCAGTGGGGAAAAAATGATTACCATTTTGTACAATTTACTATAAATCTATTTTAATTAATACCGGTACAATTTATAAATTTGTTTTTTGATTGGCATACTGCAAATTTTATCAAAGCTAGACAGAAGGATGGATGGATGGATGAATGAATAGTACCTTTGTTTGTTTTATTTCATTATTTAAAAGACTGAAGTTTAAAGATGACATTTGTAAAGAATGAAAAAATTCTGTATGATTTTGAAATAAGAACATGCATGTCAGTCATGTACTGTACTTATGACGCGAATTATTTTTTTTAGTGGTTGTTACAAAGGAAAAATACAGTACGTCTTTCAATTGTTTATTTCAATGTAATTCACATTCTTTCACAAGTATTACTAATGTTTAAACACTACTACAGTTAGTAAATATGGGTAAGATTAACCAAAAAATATGTGTTCGCAACTATAGTATACAGTACTACAGCGAGTACAGTACCGCCACAAACTATTGCAATTTTACCTGCACGCAGGCTTCGTAGATACATCGTAGCCTGATATCAACAATCTAAGCAAGGCTACGCGAAGCAAAAGCATGCTGTTTATTTGTATGTGCAGAAAGACTGCTGTAGTTTACTGGAATAAACAATGTATTGCTTGATAATTTGTGAATGACAAGCACGAGTTTAGACCGTTAATTTAAAGTATGGAGCTTTTTTTCAATAAGAAAACGTACACTTGACTTCATGGGACGCTCCTCTTCCACTCGCTGTCCACGACAGGAACTTGTTTGTACTGCTGTATTATTTTTTTAATTAATTAGCCTAGGCCTAGGTCTAGCTTATTTTTTTATTTACAATTATTTTACCTCTTTTAAATGTCAAAAAATGATATCCTCAATGGCAATACACACATGTGAAAAGATTGTTCATCAAATAATATTTTGTAGTCTTGATTTAGTAAGATAAACAATAAATATAAAGGAGAATTAACGTCCGTTGGTTGTAGAATTAACGAATGTCACATGGAAAACCTAATGGAAAATAAAACTTAGCCAGCATTGGACGTCAGAGTGCGCGCCAAACAGAACACAGTAAAGTGTGTTAAAGGTTAACCTCGTGGCAAATGTTGAAAAGCTGTGAGCGACAGTGAGTAAAAATCAAAGTAAATGCGGTCTAGCATGACTAGCCTTAATTCGGCAAGGTAGTGATTTCTATTTCCATTAGTATTGGATCGCTTTGCAGGTTCTGCTTCAAATTACGGTAAACAATAAACAACGTGATCTGTAGAAATCGTAATAATTTGTACATGATTTGTCATCAGTATTATTATTTAAAAGAAGAAAATTCCTACTACCAAAACAATAATATCACATCAAAATTCTCCGAATTGGAAAGTTTACCAGTATAATTACTGTCTGCTCTCCTCCTCTATAGGGGAAAATGTAGGACGTACGTAGGCCTAAATGACATCGAAATTTGAATATACTGAATGCCCAATAGGTTACCTAGCTAGTGAATTAAACACAGTTTTACAACATGATCAATCTAATAAGGTAGGAAATAACAAAACAATAAAGTTCTAACATTGTATATTAGCAAATTGCAACATTGCTCACGTGTTGAAAGCTGGTAAACTATTATTTCAATATTGTTTACGTATTGTTTATTAGCCCGACGATCCAGCCTACGATCATTGCAAAGCTAATTAAAATAACAATGACCTTCGTAGTGGTTCGTAGGTACGTTCAAAATGTACCTACGAGCAGATTACGAGAGGTTACGTGCAGATACGAAGTGATATTTTGTGTCTGTATTGTTGGCCTGGGTGTAGTTGATTATAAATCTCTAAAAATTGAACCAGGGATTCCAAAAGGCCTGGGTGTAGTAACAGTAGTTGATAAATCTCAAAAAAATTGAACCAGGAATTTTCGGTTTGGACTGCAAACACTTTAAATACTGGGCTAAATCATGAAGTCGGTATGCTATACTGAACTTAACCTTCCAGCCATTATCTAATGACCATACTAATGTGAAAAATTGGGGACAATCTTATGGTGTCCATCATCACTTACATAAAGCACTGTCAACAGTTATAAGAACCTTAGGTGTTTCTGATTTAAATTGAGAGCAATTTGATAGAAAGAACTGTTTGCTGTATGGATATCATGCTGACTGTATACTATAGTTCCTAATCACTGTTCAGCAGGTGTTATGATGACGTTCATAGCGGCTTTGAAGTCAGTTATGTCACACCAATTAAATTATTCAGCATTGAAATTTATAAGTTACCAAGGACATGAAAAAATTAAATTAAACAATAAACTTGAAACAATTAGCATTATTATCCAATAATCTATTATATTATTCTTGCGTTAAGACTATTATCTAATGCAAGAAGGTTTCAACAGACTGAGTATATAATCATGGAATTGTTTTCTGTGGAAGATTATCAAAAATGGTTTTAAAAGAAAGAATTGTAATACAGAAGGAGTTACTATACACAATGATACAATTAACAGTAAAAATTTCAAAGCCTAGATAATTTCATTTGAAAAAAAAAAAACACACACACACAACTGTTGGAAGATCTCAGACATAATTTTCAATATTATCATTCAGAACTATGGTACAAGTTAAGTACAGTTACATTACCAATAATCACATTCATGACATAACAAACAAAAAAATATTTAAAATATTATATCACTTTATTTATTCTTAACTATAACATATGGTCACCAAAAATATTTTTTAAAAGTTTCAATATTTAAAAATAGTTACATTATAATATTTAAACGTCAAAGAAATGCAAAAAAAATATTTTTCAAAAAGCACTAATTTTCAGCATGTACTGTACTAAACCAAATTGATGAGATTAGACAAAAACCATTTATGCCTTGGTAACATTGTACTTATAGATAACATTGTGGTTTATATTTTCAATCAACAGGTCTGATAAAAGTGGGGCTTTTACTTTAAAACTAGCTCACGTTTTCATTGATAATGGGCTGTGACAAAGATAATTCCTAGTGCAGATAGTATTGTTTAGTTCAATTGCAAGTTGATATCAAATTACTTTACTACAATCACCGGGCAGATGTGAGGAGATTCAGTATTTGGGCGTTAAGGCTTCACAAAAAGCATGGAGCTTGACTAATTATCATATATAAGCTCTGAGCCCGGGTATTCAACCTTTTTCAAGCTGATGCCAGTTCCAATATGTTGAGAAAAGCAGTGAACTGACATAAAATTGTGTACTTCAAAATATTTTCAATGACTACCCCACCCATTCTCTTTTATAAACAGAGTCCTCATATTATACAGTGGCCTACAGGTAATTTAGTTTATAAGATTGAATACTTTTAAATATCAATTAAATTATGATACTTTACATTCTCCCTATACATTTACCTCAGCCCCCAATATGGCTGAGTGAAACCGTCCTAACGAAGTTCTATATTCATATAGTGGAGGAAATTTCCTCTCTGCTCCTCTGCTGGCACCATTGCTGGCACTACAATATCATAAAATCTTTTAGGTGTTTTCTCTCTATCGCTCAAAAAAAAAAAACAAAAACAAAAAAACAGAAGCAACTAATGATGCAGGACAAACTTTATAAATAAACAAACTCAAGAAAAAAGCCAACAAAAACTTTGGAACTAACATTCAACATAATTTATTACGCTAAAACTTGATTACAGTTTCATTAAAGCCCAGACATTGACAAAGCTGCCATTGTCTGCTAACGAAAGCTTGTGCAATAAATTACATCAAAAGTTATATCTCAGAATGCTACCTCTGTTTTTCTCCTGTCATTGTTTATACAAACATGTACTAAATAAAAAAATAAAAAAAATTGAAAAAATTTGTATTTTTTCAGAATCAAAATGAATATTTAGTAAAATTGTCTTACCTTTAACATTCTCACTTCCCTAAGAGCTATTTTCTTTATTAATGGATCGTCCTCAGATTCAACAAATTTTTTGATGGCTACAATTTGTCTTGTGTCTTTTCGTTTGCATTTGAACACCACTCCATACGACCCCTCACCGATCTTTCCCAATTTATCATATTTGTCCATGATTCAGGAGTTTCTATTTCAGGTTGATTGCAAAATTTGTACAGAGTGTGGGATTCTCTTTATAGCTGTACTTGATCTTGGTGGTTGTCAAGGTAACTGAATCTATGGGCAGAATAGTCATCAAGGAACCAATATTACAATCTTAAAATTCTGATGTATTTATCAATCATTGAATATATATTTGGCTACTAATGTCACTGTTATTCCAGATTTAAATAAGTAATACATCCTCTCGCATTATTACTTAAATAAAATAATTAATAAACTGTTCACTCTGTGGAATCAGCAAATCTGATGTATTTGCAAAAAAAAAAAAAAACAAAGGATCCACTGATTATTCGCAAATAGAATATGGTGAGTATGGTGACTCTGAAGAATGACAAACATGAGGCCATAATTGATTCTACGTTTCGTTCTTTGTTAAAACATTGTCAAGAATGAATGGATTAGGAGTGTTTTATTAGAATACTGTTCTAATAAGGAACAAAACGAATCAATTATGGACTCGTATTCTGATGTATCTTAGTATCAATTACTGAATATATTTAATGGCTAAATAGTATGACATTCCTGATTTAAGTTAGTAAATCTTATATTTTTACTAAAGTCAAATTAATAAAATTTTAATCTTGCTCTTAACATTCAAATTAATCATCACCCGTCTAAGATTTGGTTCTGACACACAAAGAGTGGTGCAGTATGTGTCAAAATTGGAACGTAGGACTTCTCTCTAATAATATGATTAAGCTTGCTATTATACGATTCACTCTTTACATATAATGAGTAAAATCATATGATAGGAGACACTTAACGGCACAATGCATGTTAGCACTATAGCTCTTGTATTTTAAAAATTCATATTTTTAGCTACATGTATTATGTGCTACTAATATCTTACGATGCTTCTTCATCCAGTTCTGCTACTAATAACAACGCTAGTTTTCAGCATTTTATTTCTAAAAAACCACACCTGTTAATGCCTTCTGTAAATGTTGCTACACCCTTCATTTTTGTTCAGCGACAAATTAATGATGGTGATCGGCCTAATTCTGTTGCCAGAATTCAAACTTTTTTAATGAGTTGGTGTTGCCAGAATGCATAAAGTGGCTCAATAAAGAGCTACTACAAGAAAGTTGTATGGCTCCTGAAGAGGAAAAAGGAAGGCAGCAAAGCATGCATACATTATTGAATGAATGCAGCTTTTAGTGTATATATAGCTTTAGACCCTAAATGTAATAAATGTTATTTGTACCAGAATATTTAACAACAACGATAAGAAATAACAATAATCAAAATGTTTTGCTAATTAACAAAATAAATATAACCTGGCAACGAACATAGTATAATTAAAATTGGATAAGAACCTGACTGGCAATTAATAGGCTAGGCCTAGCTACGAGCACACAGTAGCTAAAAACACAACTTATAGATACAAGAGCTACAGTACTAAAGTGCATTAGCGCCCATTTATATACTATACTTGAAAAAGCTTATAATTTTATCAAATAGTATATTGGTTTACAAAACTGTAGGTGTATAAGAAATTTAAAAACAATCTCCTCCTATAAGTCAGGAGTAAATAAAAAATTTAGACAACACTCAGAATAGTGCAAAGTGAGGGATGCTAGCAAGGTAATGCGGTGGTAGGAAAGTGGAGGTGGTTGGGCGGACCCTTCCAAAAAAAAACAAACAGATTCAAGGGAATTGCTCTGTTTGTGAACAAGAAATATTGTATCATTTGTATTCGTATTCCACTTTTCTATTTTAAGTTAACAAAAAAGTTTTGGCCAAGACAGTATTTGGTAGCAGGTCAAAATGGCAATGACCAAAACGGCAATGACAAGTACCAAAATGGCAACAGACCAAAACGGCAATGACTACCAAGCCCCACCGGGCGTGGGCCACAGTTTATAATTTTATGAATCGTTTTGAAATTGTCCCGATAGGCAAATCGAATATTGCCATGGACTCTTTTTCCCACTTTTAATGCTTATTATTAATATTATTTTCGCAGTTTTTTTACTTTTATAAAATTGTTTAGCCTCATTTTGTCTGTATTTGAAAGTTTTATTTGTTTTAATGTTTTTTTGCTTTTATATTGTTTCCCCCTCCCCAATCTTTTTAATTTGTATGATTATTTTTATTTGTATTATTAATATTATCATTATTATTATTACTATTAATGTTATTGTTATATTATTATTATTAATGATATTATTGCTGCTGCTGCTATTTAGCCTCATTTTTAGTGTATTTAATCGTAGTACACATTGATGTTTATGATTAGCCTAGTTTATTTTTTTGCGCTTTTTATTTTTATGACAAATTGGTTAGAGCATCGTTTTGGTCTTGCCGTTTTGACTTATTGCATTTTTGTCTATTGCCGTTGTGGTCAAAAAGTGTTGCCGTTTTGGTTTTTCGCTATTTTGGTCATTGCCGTTTTGACTTATTGCCGTTTTGTCCACAAACCCAGTATTTTTCTCATCAAAACAGTCCCACACTGAGCTTGTCACATATTTAATAAGTAATAAATCTACAGACATGCTCATAAATTCACGTTTTTTGGGCTTATTCAAAATATTTTCTCATTGATTAGGCCAATAGCGGGCTCCACACCCCCACCCTCAAAATAAACAACCACTGTTTTCAGACCTAAAATAGACTGTGCCTACCTTCCTACTACTACTACTACCTAGGTCCTAGCTAGGCTAGGCTAACCTAAACAACACTGCAGAATGAATGAGAGATGTTATTTTTGTATGAAAATCATATCATTTGGCTATAATAACGTTTTCCCAAGATATTATTCGTGATTAATGATACTACGAGCGAGAACCAGTATTACTTTGCAACACAAAGACGTATATGGTAGCCGACAGCAAGCTTAAGCAAGTGCGCTAGGCCTAGTACCTCTCCAAGATAGCCGGACTTGCTAAAAGTAGGCCTAATCTTGAGAGAGATGAAAAGCAGTTACTTACCCCGTCTCACTCACACACCGATGCTAGGAAGAGGAAGATGTAATCATTTTCAAGTATATCCATATCAGTTGAACAATTCACAAACAAATACTGACGAAGAATATCAAATGTTGTTTCAAAGTGAATTGGAAAAGTAGACCGTGCACTATAAATACAGAAATACTGATAATAATGCCGTAAACATCACAGTATCAAGTCAAAAATATCGTTACCGCGGTGCCTTCGCAGAGTTGAGAACAGAGTAGTTGAGCACCATTTGCAATTCTGACCCCAGATACAGTATTACTCCGCTATGAAATACGGTCTCTAACGCTAGTAAAATTTAATGATAAAAAAAAAACTTACTAAAACTTCATATCATCTGTTAATTTATCTATAATTACAATAATTACTAGTATATCTTATGCGTATTTACATTTTTTTACATGTATGTATTAATAAAGTGTTGAAAGGAACTATATGCGGAGGCTTACTAATACCATATAGCCAAATAGCCTATCAGGGTCACTTACTTAATATGTAAATTAATTTACCATAGCAACCGTCAGTAAACAATGGTAACCAAAACATTACTATGTATATTACTGTACGGTAACGTACAATTTCGAATATTTGTCTTCTTCAATGCCAATTTAATCATATCAATTGACATGTTGTTTCAACTAGACCTTCAGTAACCATTAAGACTGATTAATTAATTGTAACTTGAATGAAATTTTTATTTCCAGATTTAATATGGGTTACCAATCAAGAAGTAATATTGATGTCATTTTACCATAAATTTTAACATTTTTAACTTTATGATACATACCATATTAAGGCTATTTTTTTTAATCTTAAGAAAAACTGCAATTCAGAATTTTGGCTTCATTGATGTAAGTAATATGATGATTACTGAAATGAATGAAATCACAGATACACAGTGGGAGATGTCATTGTTTCTAATGAGCAGTGTTATTTATATATTTTGGTGCCTGATTTCTATTGAACACTATTAAAATAGAAATTTATTTCAAAAAATACCAGAGGCGGATCCATATTTGGTCTCAAAATAAATTTCGCCTCAAAATAAATTTCTAAAATTTCAATGCATCAATTTTATGTCACGCTACTAATTTATCTATTCTGAAACTTGTATCTCCCGTTTTAAAAATTCTGAAGGCCCCTGCATATGGCAACGTTTGTACTCTTTGAGGGGAACTGTGCTTGTTTGTTAAAGTGGTTGCCCTCCAATTCAATTCAGGATCAATCTATGTCTCATGCAATCAGTTTCTCTTTTTAAGTATGGCATTGATGTAACTGTAGTTTAAGTTTTGTTTCTTTTGTTTATATTGGTATATGGATAGAAAAATTTCAAAAGAAAAGTCGAATTGAATTAATACCTTTAATTATGTTGCATTTATCTATTTCACAATGTTCAGTAAGAAAATATCTATGCATGTGTGTAGGTTTATACTATAATGTATGTATACCATATATGGATTCAGATGAGACAAGAGGAGTATCAATCAATCGTTCCATTTATATGGCACATTTTATTTATTTATTTATTTATTCAATTTCTGGTGCCGTTCCAAAAAAAGAGATTATTAAAAAAGGTGCATCTTGAGTTGTGACTTAAAACTGTCAAGAGAAGGTGATTTTTTAATGTTCAGAGGAAGTTTATTCCAGAGCCTTGGTCCGGCCAGCAGTGTTGAAAAGTGCTCTTTGGGATGTCCAGGAGCACTTGTTGGCTAGATTTTTATACTAAGCATAACACTGCAAGTATTGTTTTTGGACTATTGAAGGGAAAAATGTAAAAGCAAGCAAGTACAGATCAAATATAATTGCAGTTCTAAAGTATAAAACAAAACTGCTAGAAAAAGATGCTGTACTGTGACAACATGTTTATGACATTTCGGGGATTGTTTCTAAAGATATTGCAAAAGATTACAGACCATAATATATTTTGACACCGATATCATCAATTCTATTTACATTTGCAATAAATGCAGACCACTCGGAGCCATCTTATCTTAATTATGTTTAGTATATGTAAGATTAGAATATTTATGTGAGATAACATAATAGGATAGGTTCATGTGAGCCACTGTACCCTTTATCAAAATCCTGTTCGGCCATCCGCAGATGAAAAAATGTACTTTTTGTTTAAAATCAGTGTAATTATTACAGAAATATCTATTTTACTTTCTTCAATAATTTATCATTCTGTCTTCCAATCAGCAGCCAGTTATGGAATAAAAACCCCCCACAAACTACCCAATAAAATGTCAATGAACAATTTCTATATAAATTTATCTGCGCTATTGTAGTACTGTTTGTGTATGGTTACTTTATAGTGTAATGCAACCCGATTTGATAATGGAATTATGCTTGGGTTCGCAAGGGTCAATTGTAAGGTAGGTGTATATGTATAATGTTGCTGAACATACATTGTATGGTTGTATACTGTATTGTCCTGCTTTTGACAATGTTTGAAAGGTGAAAATATACAGAAATTACTAAAAAGTTAAAAAAAAAAAGATATAAATTACCTCACATACCGTCTCTTGATCCAAGTTCAGTAAGTACTGAACACAATTAATTAAAAAGTGAGTCAAATCCTATGCATGGCTACTGCCTATATCTCAACCAGGACACTGGAATACAATCCTTGGTGGGGTTGATGAGGTATCATTTTATGGTTAGGATGCCCGAAAATTGTGATTTTGCATTACAATATTAGAGATTGCCAATCACATTAACTTTGTTTGGATTGGCCATGTTTGTCCGACAGGGTGCAGCAGTAAAGATTTGAAAGCTATCAATTTAAAAAATAATGGGTACGAGTCACAGGCTGGTCACCTATTGGTGTCCTTGGGCAAGGCCCTTTAGTCACACTGTTTCCATCCAGGAGCATAAGTGGGAGCCTCATAGATTTGAATACCGACTACTAGGTAAAAATTATTGCATGCTCCACAAGGGAGCTGAGTAGGTGTTCCAAAGTTTTATCTAACTGCTGGTATAATAGTGCGAAGCCAAAAGATATAAAAATATAAATATGCCAATTCAATCAGTAACTCTGAATAAACACATCAGTAAGTACACAATTAAATAAATACAAAAATACAAAATTAGTCACAAAGTTTTTATTCTAATAAGGCCAAAGACAACCTTTAGTTTTGCTGCTGTCAATAACTCATCAAAATCCAAAAACCTTAACAATAATACATAGCCCTTATTTCCATCCTCTGACGAACTTTATAATTTTCCATTTTTTGGAAAAAAAAGTCTATTGTTCTAGATACATATAAAAAGTCTTTTCTTTACATTTTGATATATTTTATTTGACAATAATGCGGAACATCACATACGTAAGCTAAGGAATCCCTAAACTTGATTTACTTATAACTCTGATATCACTCATTAAGTATATATAAAGGCGAATTAAATTATGAAGTAAAGAAAACATATCTGCAATTTGGTTTTAACTACAAATTTCTACACATTAGTAAAAAAAAAACAAAAAACAATATTAGTTACATATATGTACAGACTAAAATCAGCAAGGATTTAATACAAAGATAGCATATGAAATTAATATTATTTATTTTATCAATATTTTTTAAATCTTCATATAAATACAAAAATCATATAACCACATGGATTGCTAATTAAAAAAACAACGCAATGCAGAAACAGGAATTGTAAAGACATATTTATTTGCAATATGAAACATTTCTATATTTAGTACATTTTTACACCAACTTAGGGGGGCAAACAGAATTATATTACATACTCCCTAACGTAGTACAAAATGGAGAAGGCTGTTGGAAAATAGTCAAAATAATATCCAATGACAAGTTTTTTTCTTAAAAAATGACAACCATCAAAAATCTTTTCTAGGTTTTTAATATACATGATTAATGAATTTGGCATTATACAAGTTAATAAATTCGTAGATTGATGATTAATGAAGCAAAATAAACAACAAATAGATGAAAAAAATCTTGTTAATACAACAAAATGTCAAATGTATTGACCTAACAAATGTAAAAACAAATAAAATATTTCAATTGCTTTACATATTTAGGCAATTATCATTCAATATACATAGTATAGATTTTAAAGTTCCTAATAAAAAATATGAAAATCAGAGAAATATAAATTGTCACACTCTACAATTCATTAAATTTTAGAAATTTTTTTCTAAATGAAACTATTTAAAATAATCTAAATATTTTCTATAAAGTAACAAATTAATTATTTAAATGCTGTTTATGACAATAATCTGTAACTAAAATAAAAGCCCAAATGTTTCTGTTTTGGTCATTTATTAGGATATCCTTAGATGAAAAGTATTTTACAGAAGACTTATTTTAACAGACCAACCTCATTTTGAGAACACTGTTAAAGCACATATTCCAGATTATCACTTTGTAAATCTATGTATATCCAACAGTAGCATTTGAACCACATATGACCTAAATCTAATTATTTTACATCTGTATAAATGAATATTTACTGCCATATTCCAACAGCCTTCTTATAAACATTATTTCTATACACACGCACACAGTAAACACACACACATACTATACATACATACACGCGCACATAAGCAAATGTGTCCTTCCAGTTTACTTTCAAAAGAAAATATTATAATGTTTAATCAATTATAATTAAATGTGAAATTATCTTTACTCCGATTAATTTAACACAAAAATTACTAAATTTCTTAATTCTGTGAATATCAGGAGTATCACAATGCCATATATGGCAGGTACAATGATTATATATCACACCATATATGGTAAATTTATGGCAATGCCATGAGGTCACAATGATTATCCCAGTGTATCCCAGTGCCATATATGATGGGAGTATTCCAATGATTATATATACATGGCTGGAATATCCAAATTCAATATATGGTAGAAGTATCCCATCCCATTGCCAAGAGTATCCAACTGATTATACAGGAGTTTCATAATTCAATATACATGATATGATATCTAAATGCCATATATACAAAGAGTATCCCAATTAATATATACTGTATATGGTAGTAATATCACTATTCCATATACAGTAGTAGAAACATCCCAATGCCATATATACCAGGTGTATCCAAATATCATGGAATTTCCCTATGGCTGTATGCCTTACATGGCTAGATTTTTCCATTCCTGTATGCAATAATGTTATGGTCAGATTATCCTATGCATGTTGACCATATATGGCAAAACATGTCCAGAATGCCTTTATGTCATCTTGGACATTATTTTCTTATGCGCAGTGATGATGTTCTTAAACACCATTAATTTCTATTACCAATATTATTGAGTGGTTGGTAAGTTTTTAAAACTTGCATTATATAAATTCAACAACATTATATGTATTAATTTTTTCTTGAAAAATACCAATTTCCTGCAAGTTACAAGTTTAAAGGTAGATTGAAGGTAAAGTTAAAATCAGAGCTATGAGCTCACAAATTCCATGTCATTTTATTAAATAAGCAAACAAGCAAATAAATATACAGATTCATGGTTAACATATAGAGGATCATATTATTAGCTAAGATTAAAGAAATAATAAATATGTTTCATCACACATATGTATACAGGTTCATAGAAATCAAGCCAAGGATACAAAGATATGAGAAACAATAAGGATGAAACTAACAAACATTATGAACAAGAAAGAAAGAAGTATCATCTACTCCTGTCTGGAGGCCCGCAAGGAGGGTGGATGAAAGATCAGCAATGGATCGCAGTGAGGGTGCATGTCACCAGTTAGGGATCTTATAATTGTGTGACGATGGTAATATTTGAAAAAAGCAATTTGCGCTTGCAAAGATTTTGAGTTTCATTGTCAAAATTCTGGGATGTTTCTTGGGTAAAATCTATGTTCTGAGAATAAATGAGTGAATCTGTCAATGCACAACTGAAAGCTCACTATTATATTGATGCAGAGAAGAATGGAATGCTGCAAGTCTGAGTTAAGCTTGACTTAGCAGATTAGCTACCGGTGTCAAATTTTATCCACTGACCGAACTTTTATGAACTTGTATAAATATGTATTAATGCTTGAAGCTAAATTAAATTATTTAATCATGTTAAATCATTTTAAGAAAACAGCACGTCTCAATCGGAATTCAAATCTCCAACTGTCTGATTACCAACTGATCTAAGAGGCTAAGCTGATATTCAAATTTTCTTCAAGGCAGTAATTCTCTACTACATCAAAACAATCTATCATTACGTGGAATTGCCTTGCATAAATTAAAACACTGCTTTATGAATACTCAAGTCACATCAAACATTAATTTTCTTTCACTGAAATGATGCTTCTGATTTCTGTATTGCTTTACAATTAATTTTAATATTGCTATTAATAAGAAATAATATTTGGTAATGAATATAATAAACTAATGTCACTAAGAAAATCAATAAAGACAGTCCTTTCCCATCAACCTCATAAACATTATTTACACACAGGATTTAATGTATTTCTTCTCTCTTTTCCTATTGTTTCATAGAATTTCAACATAACAATGGCATATCTGACACACAGGCATATAATTATTATTATTAATTATATAATTATTATTATTTGTAATTTGATAATTATTTGAATTACTGACTCTACAATAAATAATTTCAGGTCAGTGATCTTTGAAGCTCGAACAACTAATCTGGTTAAGCTTCATCTGTGTCATCTCAACTTCACAGTACACATTCATGAAAATGTTTATTCATGAAGTTGCTTCTTAGTATACACAACACTGATGTTCTTTTGATGTGTGTGGCCAAAGTATTGGATTGAAAAATATCAAAACTTTCAATTACAAAATTGCAATGCAGTAAAAAACAAGTTTATCATTATTATTATCAGTTGATAAATATGGATGATATGCTAAGTATGGATAGATATCTTATGATTATTGATGACTACCTCTGTGGTTGGTATTTGCTGAGAAGTCACTGGTTGCTTTCAGCATAGGATACTCCAAAGCTACAAAAACACTAGTAATCTGCATGTACATATAATTTATCTTCTTTGCTTTCTTAATTCTAGAATGAAGACTCAAATCACACAGTTCATCAAGAAGAACTTTGATAGAAATTAACCGTATAAACAGCGATTTTTCCAATCAGTATATTTCCTATATCAAGGGAAAACCTTGCGATCTGGGTATATACATGGACACCGACCAATCTCCTGGATAAACGACAGTAAGCAATGTGAGTCAAACAACTTGGAGTGATACTGTTTAGATCCAGCGATATGAATGTGACCTTAAGACTGTACAAAATCCTGAAATAGTATATGTAACTGTGCGAGACAACATACGTCGCGATTCTCACATGGTATTTTCATGACCGGTCAACAGGTAGACATTGCACTTTCCTTCATTATTGTCTGTCTGACTGCTCTTTAGGATAATTAGTCTTTCGGATCCTAGCAAAGTAAACATCTTTGATTTGTCACAAATTTCCTGAGTCACCTATGGAAAGAGATTAAAAATTTAATTTTCCTGGATCACTGATGATTTCAGAGCATTTTTAAAACCTTTTCATTTACACTATTTAAAATCACTTATTCAATGAACATATAAAAACATTACCATTGATAAATGGAAAACATTCAGAAAATCTAGGAAACATTCGTAAAGAAAATGACAAGGGAGGGAGAGCTTACATTACAAAGGAAAGAAGACAGATGAAGAATAAGAAAAAGACAAAACATTACAAAGAAGAGAAGAAAAATAAACAAACATTCTTGGGTAGTATTATAAAAAGTTATTACTAATATAAACATAAACGTTATTAATTGCAATTGTAAATGTTTAGATTAATAATTACACTTAAAGAAAAAAAAAATCACATTCTCAAATAAACAATGCAAAGGTCAGAATTAGCCTAAGAAAATATCATACTGCCTTGTTTGCACTGTAACTTATTACCCTGTTTTCTGGATTAAACACATACACAGAAATACTGGCCTTCAAATACGAAGCTAATTACAACTCTATGTACTAATATCTTATTTAATTCAAATTGTCATAAAAAGTTCATAATAATTTATAAAATATGTATTATTGTTGTAAATGTAAAATGTAACCCAATTCATAGTTTTGGCAAAGAATGAGTTAACAATGCCAAAAGGATCAAATTAGGAACTTCAATATTACATTCGTACACAGGCAGTTATCCTATTGAACAAGGAAAACTGTAAATCAAGAATGCTTATAATTACTGTTTTATTATCAGTGTGTACACACATGTAAAACTGATCAATTGTTAGTACAGTAGCGAATTAGAATGGTGGCAGCAGCCAAGAAAATCTCTAACCAAGTGAGAGATAATTTAGATAAGAGAAGTACTGTAATTACTACTCTTAAGCTTTCAGGAGGCACAGTCTCCCCCCACCCCCTTTGACCAATATGAAAGTTAAAGGAATGTTTCTAACCTACCACGCCTCCTTGAATGGTGCGGCAGTACACATGAAAATATCTAACCAAATGTGAAATAATTTAGATTTTCTCACTATAAATAGATTATTCCTGTGCTCTTTATCATTGACAATTTGCCATTACCATTGATTCTATATTATTTTATATTACATTCTATTATATTTAATTTTATTATCATTATGTCTTTATTTTATAATTTTCTGTTGATTTTATATACTATTTTATCTGTCTATATTATCATTCCCTATTTTTTCCATTTGCCGTTTTTACAGTGTACTTGTATATTTTACCACTTTATACGACCTTTCATCCATGACGCTTTGTTTATCCCTGGCCTCTTAATTCCAGCCAGACATTCTGTTTATATTTTGTTTATATTGCTCATTTGCATAATTTGAATGATCAGTTTGATCCTGTGTCTCCCACTTCATTCACCTGATGAATCAATCAATTTCATTAGTATGTGCTACTGTACTCATTTCATTTGTATTTTATGCTACAGACAGATACAGCTCCTACTTTTATTATTTAATTTAGATAAGAGATTTACGTAAGTACAACCCTGAGGCTTTCAGGATTTATAGCCATCCCTTCCTCCAACATATATAAAAGGTAAAGGAATGCTTCTAACCTGCCACTCCCCTTGGAACATAGGTCCCACCCCTTTGGACAATGATCAGTTCCTTGTTGTAGTGACACCCCTTGAACCATAGGTCCCAGCCCTGTAGACTATACATCCTTGATTTTCACTTACGCACTCACAGGAATTTATATGACAGGGGGCTGACAATTTCAGGAAGAAGTCCTGATAATGCTCCAGGGGAACAGGCCCCTATTTCCAAGAAAAACTAGGCAATTTTGAGTCACAGGGGCACTTTAGGCGAGATTTTTTTTATACCTTGTTTAGCAAACCTGCCGACTACAAATACTCATGATTTCGAATAAAAATAAAATTTTATTTTCGGCCAATTAGTGAACTCGCCACCACGAAAAAGTTGAAATTTCAGAAAAAAATAAAAGTTTTCTTTATTTTTATTACACCCTCCGCTGCCTTGAAATCTCCAAAGATAAGAGATGTATATTTCTTCCTAATTACATAAATTTGTACAAGTACTTAACCATCCTATTTTACATTCACATTGGTTGGATTGGTTGTTGCTGGGCAAAAAATAACCTACGATGTCAAAAAAATTTAGGCAAAGGCAGGCCTAGGTTGTGATAAGACCAAGATATGACCTCTCTAGCTAGGTGCTTAGGCCTTCTTTAGGGTGTTCCCTTCCCTTTGATGTTCAAGTAAACTCTGATTTCTTCACCAGAATATAGTTTTTGATAGGCCATTGAATTGTAGGGCAGTTGTTCCAATGCTTCTACCACCTCGCAAAACCGTCGTCATTTTTGTTCTGTTTATGCACACGGGAATCCCCAGGTATAATCCCACCCCCTAAAATTGGGCCAATTTCACGTTCATGGGGGATGGGATTATACCCGGTGAACTACGGTACATTTAACATAATAAAAACTATAGAGGGCTTACTTCATTTGTTTTGAAGCTCCTTCCTTGCATGCCATTTTTGTGGAATGCTAGTACACTATCCTGTAACACAACTAGGGCTTCCACTGGGAAGTCAAAGTGCAATTCTGCCGACAATTTTTTGCTGGATTTTGGCCTGCCATTTAGATTCACAACTTGTACAATTCCTGTTGGAGAAGATATATTACATTAAGTTCTGGTTGGGAATGACATTTTTCATTCATTTTTTCCATTTATTTAAGCATAAAAAAATACTCTTTTTCTGTGCACACTATCCAATTTTATGTGACAAATTTGTGTGATGTGCCCACATATAGGCATGATGATGTCATATAGGCATGATGATGTCATATAACACAGTAATGCAGAAGTAGCTTACTTTCAGAGCAGACTAAGACAGTGTCTTTTTCCAGTTGAGAGACCGTTACCACGTCAAGGAGGTTGTCTTGGGGAGGGTGCTCTACGAACCAGCATGATGCTGAATTTAAGTTTATTATATCAAACGAAAGGTGTCTCCGATCAGCTCTAAATATATAAATAATTTGATATATTAGGCAAATATAATATTGGACATAATAATTATAATTGGTGATGATGAAAATTGTTGATGATTAATCATGATGATGAGTTTCAATGTTTTATTTATTTCTTATTTATGCTGAATTCAGTGACTAGATGCTGTTCTCCCAATTTATAAGGCTTAGGGGAGAAAATTTTCCAGAATTATTATAATAATTTTAGTTATCTTTCATGGAAAAAAACCAACAACCAAGAGAAAAAAAATGTGTTCATGTGTTTCTTCAAGAGGGATTTAACAATTGAGTTTGAGATAAGGTAGCTTTCACTAGTGTACGAACACAGACATTGCACCGACTATTATAATGTAGCAAACAGCTTCATCCTCTACCCAGTAGGTCTCTGAAATTAGACCCTGGGATGTACATACTGATCGATTGATTGGACTGATTAAATGATTGACTGATTGATTTCTTACCCCCTTGCAACACCAATGCAGACTATCGGATATTCAGATTCTGGTTTGATTAACATTTCAAATATCTTGAGATCAGATGGCAACATACAATCAAATATCTAAACACAATAAATAGAAGAGATATTACCATCAAAGAACTGTATTTATTCAGTTATTAGTACTGATGGTGAATACTTAGCAAAAAGAAACAGGAATATTGAGGATGTGACAATGAAAATGTTAATGGTAATGATGACGTTTCTGGGTTGAAATAAGGAAATATAAGAAAGGAAAATGAAAGGAAAGATAAAGGCCAACTCAGACAGCGTCGGCCGACGCAACCCGACGCAATTTATCGTCGGGGACAGTCTTAAGCCCTTCCTTACCTGCGCAACAATGGGTACAGCCTTTTGTATCTGAGACTTTATGGCTCAGTGAGTACTTTCTTGGAATCAGTTTGTCTGGAATTTTCTGCAATTTATCACCCAAATTGCCAGGCATGTGGAATCGATGAGGGTTTTTATCAATCATGCCTAGTAAATTGTGTGAATATATATATTGTGCTTTTCCTGTAAATAATAAAATTAATAATGATAATAGTAAGTTTTTTTCCTCCAAAACAGAGCAAAGCTGAGGTGAAACAATTCATGTACAAATGAAGAACAGCTTATGTAAATTATAACAGATATTGTAAAATCTGCATATATTAAGCAGGCCCATCACTAGGAAGGTTGGTTTTCTACAGGCCAATTTTAACTCAGAAGTGTTTAATAAACAAACTGATAAAATATTACTACAGTAGTAAACTTGTTAAAATGGAGGTTCGGCCAAACCCCACCTTGGTTATGAACCTGTTCAGCGTTACCAATGTGACACAAGTGCAGTAGGCACAACCTTGCGGACATGTGTTTGGAAATTTTGCTGTGCATCTCACTTGTATAAAATTACAGATGACTAGGAATACACCAGAGGGATTGGAGAAGGCTACACTCTATGCTGGTTAGATCATTTATAGATCCTTACGATCAAGGGTTATAACATCACAAGCCCTTTATGTCTATTTGGAAAATTTACAGTATAAATTCCTATATCATTATTATTGGGTTATACATGACTGTTCATTATTAACTGTTAAAAATAAGTTCACATAAATGTTTTACAGACCTGAGAGAGACATCATCATGTTGTTTACTACATAAATCCATGTTGTCTTCCTTGGAAAAATCTATAGAAAAGTAGTAAACAATACAATCAAATCAGACGACAAAGTAAATACATGTACCTGTACTTGGTGTACATGGTTAATGCAGTGCTTTCAGATTGAGTAGACACTTTGAATGTGGGAGCGTGGGGCGCAGTGTGTAAGGTGTAGAACTTCTGACCGTGTCATCGGGAGTTTAAGACCGATGCTTGTGCACTGCTTATGTCCCTGGGCAGGCACTTAAGTTTGCCTTTGTCCACCCAGGAGTATAAATGGGTACCTGGTAGGATGGTATAGCATTGAATGTTTGGGTTGTGTGTGTAAAGCAGAATGACTTGGGATACTCCCCAGGGAGCAAAGTTGCACAAAATGTACCGGTCTGCCAATTCGGTATCCAGTGACCAGGTAATAATGATGCCAGCACCTTGTACATTCTCTGGATTGTGATAGGCGCTATATAAATTCCGATTCCAATTCTAATTTGAATCTGAGACAGTGGTCTTAGTGGTGTGTTCCGTTCACAATGTCAAATTTTATATGTACAATTTGGCATGTCGTTACCAAACTATGGAAAGATAATGTCATATCACACCCCAAACTATGAGGAAATCACAGAGCAGACATCAGAAATATGATATGTCAAAAATATATTTGATACTATTCCAATCTCTAATGGAAATATGATACAGTTTTATTTAACTGATGTATATATATCAAGATAAAATATAAAAAAAACCTACAGTGTTGTTTCAGTTGAAAGTTAATAAATAAACAGAAATAATAATAAACTGAAATATAATGATAATTCAGTTTTTCTTTTTTCTTTTTTTAAATACATTAGATTTAAGTTGCAGTGATTCCTCCAGGGCACCAGTGTTCTATTTCATGCAATTGTAATTACTTTTGTAAAAAGATCAACTTACTTGGTCCATGACACCTTCATGGATTTCTGTGAGGTTGAAAGCATATATGCCTTCGTCTGCACCAAATAGTACATATTGATCTGATAGAAAGAGAAAACAAATACTTAGCAAACAGAGATTTGGTTCATTTATTAATTTCATTTCATTATGTGTAAAATGCAAGATAAGTAAAGATGCAAGATGAGTAAAGATGTGAGATGATTAAAGGTATAACATTAGTCAAGATGTGAGATATGTGAAAATGTGAGATATGTGAAGATGAGAGATGAAGTAAAGGTGTGAGATGAGTGAAGATGAGAAGATCTTGATACATCTGAGCCAGCTTTATTATCAGTAACACTACCTCAAAAGAGATACTTGTACTTTTATGAAATTCAATGACCTCTCTACTGATCACATAAAGAAATTTATGATGTCAAGCCCTTCCAAGTCATGTTAACTGGATCCTATTCCTAAAAGAATATTCTCCAAAAGAAATGTTTGGATTCATTACTGTCGGTAATTACCAACATAGTTAACCAGTCTCTTTCTTCTGGAGTTATGCCAAACTGGCTAATAACTGCGCAAGTAACGCCTATACTGAAGAATCCTAAACTTGATGGAAATACGCTGTCAAGCTATCGACCAATCTCAGTTTGGCAATTTTTGGCCAAAGTCATAGAACGGTGCATATATTCACAGATACAAGATTACTTCAACCTCAATTATCTGTAATCTTCTGCTCAATCTGGCATTGAAACTGCTCTCATAAAAGTCCAAACTGATTTACTTGGCGCCACTGATAACAGACAAGAAGCAATCTTTATTTTACTTGATTTTATTTAGTGCTGCATTCGACACTATCGACCATTCAATGTTTATTAATAGGCTACTTTTGCACTATGGTATATGTGGAACTGACATTAAGTGGTTTACATCTTTCCTTCAAAATCGTGAGCAGCATGTAGAGATTAAAAGAGCAAAGTCCAAGACGTATCATCTGCACTATGGAGTACCACAGGGCTCTGCGTTTGGTCCTCCCTGTTTTACCTTTTAAACAGTTCCACTGTGTGATTTAATTGATGTCCATGAAGTTAACAACATGGTATATGCTGACGATATTCAAATATATCTCAAAGACTCAAAACATATGGTGACAGAAGCTTTTCCTCAATTGGGCCAACCCTCTGGAACATACTTCCATTGGAAATTCAAAACTCACCAAACAATGACTGTTTTAAAAAGGCACTAAGACTTACCTCTTTATATGATATACCTAACTTCAACTGGCATCTTTCAGCGCTTTGAGGCTATTTTTGCATTAGGCGCTTTATAAAAGTATTATTACTGTTATTATTATTATTATTATTAGACTTATAGTAAAGATGTAATATAGTAAAGATGTGATAAGTGCAGATGCAAGGTAAGTAAAGATGTGTAAAGTGAGTAAAAGTGTGAGACAGTAACAACCTGAATTCAGATGTAGAATTAGTAACGATTTATGATAAGCACAGATATGAACACAGAACACATATGCAAGAAAATGAATGTGAGGTATCAATGTGAGAATGTGTGAGCATAGATTGAAGTTGAGCATAGATGTGAAATGAGCATAGATGAGATGAGTATAAATGCAAGATGAGCAGATTGAAAAAAATATGAATATAAAAATAAGTACTGTATTATGTGAGATGTGATATGAAATGAGCACGAGATGAGCACATAATAAAAACTGCCTGATTACCCTTCTTCTCGGGATGTACCCAGCTTGCTGAGCAGTGGATATTCAATGGACATTCATTGAATATTTTTGAGAAACAGGCTCCCATCTGGAAAATACAACATTAATTACAATATTAATGTGTAATCATTTATCCATTCAATTTGTATTATTTCATTATCTCGATCTCACTGAGGAATAAGCACATTGACAAATTTTGGAAACTAATTAAGACTGAAAGTCTCAAGCATGAGGAAGGATGGATTTCTACTCTCGCAGGATCTCGCAAGATATGAGTGAACTTCCCTTGATTGTAATCAAGTGCAATCACAGAATTCCCCTAAGTATGCTACTTGAATAAAAAATAATAAAAGAGAAACCATATGGTTGCTCTTATATAATTACACAGAATTAATTTAAAACAAATCTTTCATTTCATACATGCAGATGCAACTTCAAGGCATCAACTGAGTCTCGGGTATAATCCCACCTAATAATGTACCAAGGGTTGGGCTAGAAGTAATTAGGTAATTCTGAACTGAATGGACAAATGTAACCAAAATAAGTTTTTAAAATGCAGGTAGGAGGGTGAAGATAGTAGAACATATAACGCACCACCATTGTGTGGAATTGTGTAAGGACAACTAAATACAGCTACATTCCAAAAATTCATACTCAGAAACTTACAGGTACTTTTGGCGTTTTAGGTAGGCCTCTACTCTCTGAACAGGGCTCCCTCGTGTGGAACCGATTTATAACTTTCCTTGGTGGAACCTTAGGAGCGCTGTTTGAATCTTCTCCATCTTCCATGCTCTCACCAATGCTCGTTGGTGCTAAGCCATTCAATACTGGATGAGGAACTCGTGCAGAAGATTCACTTGACGTACCGGAGGCCGATGAACTCGGCCTGTGATCTTGCATGCTGCCATTATGATGCGACGCTGCTGATGATCTGCTAATCGACTGAAAAAATAACGTTTGAAATTTATAACATAAATTCGTTGAATAATCTAAAATTGGTTGGATTTTTTTTCTTTACTATTTTGGGGGTTATCTTGGTAGGTATATTGAAATAAAGTTAATGCATCCATATAATGGTTTTTCTTGGAATTTTTAACATATTTCACTTACCTTCTTTGGTGGAAGCGGTGGTGGAGTCTCCCCACTTTGTGGCAAGGTTTCTCTGAAAAAATCCATTAATATTATTATTTTTCTATATATTCTTTCTTTAAATTATTATTATGAATCTATAAACGTAAAGCTATATTTTGCCATTATCATAATGCTTTCATTACACATTATTATACATACAATCAAACTTAATCATTTAAAAAGATCTACACCAACAGTCTTAATGTTTTTACCTACAATTATTTTGTTTTGTAATTTACTATATAGGAATATGGAATAATTGTTGCTATACCAAACTTAATCCAAGTCATATAATAAGTACTCCTTTTCGAAAAACAAACATAAATTTGATGCTGTACATAAGCTAATTCTCATAATGAAACTTTAGGGAGTCAAGTTGTTTTTGGTTATGAGAAGAATCCTGTCAATTGATAGAACTCGAACCTATGACCTTTGGATTGTAAAGCCGGGCACCCACTGCGCTAAACGGTCGTCGGCTGACGCAATTCGATGGAGAAGGCAACGTCACAACGTGCGTGCAATGGATCGTTTTTAATGACGATCCATTCTGACTGCCACCGACAATTAGCAGACGGCGTAGCATCGTCTAGCGCCTATGGGGATCGGAGTTGGGTTCATCAGCTGACGGTCGTACGACTGTCATACAACACTGCGAGTGTCCAGCTTAAGTGGTCTGTCCCTCACCTTCCCATTTCAAGGTCACAGGTATGGTCCGAAAAAAAAAAAATGAATTCTGATCTCCAAGTCTCAAAAATAGCTTGGTTATTACAATATCAAAGACTTTGCAAAAGTTATGGACTATTAACCATGCTAATGTTTTTTCCCTTATTAAAGGTTAAAGGTTATTTATTTTTAAATTTAATATTACCATAATAAAAAACAAAGAAAAAAATGATCTCATCTATTGAAGAAATTTAGAAGTATAAAAAAAGATCGGTGCAAAATCAAGTAACAAGCAAAATGAAAAATAATCAATAAAAATTTTAAAGAAATAAATGCAAATTAACATTAACATTAAAGTTATAATATATAATAAAAAATGCATGAAAAAGAGCTAATATGAATGGTGAAGGTGGTGAAAAATGAAGTTGATGATTATGGCAATGATAATGGTGGAGATGGTGACTATGATTATGATGACAATATTAATGTTAGTGAGGATTATGATGATGGTGATGAAGATAATTATGGTGAAAATGAGGAGCACGAAGATAATGATGTTGTGGATAATGATGATGATGGGAATTACGATGATAATGATGACAGTAGTAAAGATGATTAATGTGACAATGAAGCGTATGGTGATGCTGACAAAGATGAGAGTAGTGATCTGGACCTTCAATAATCCCACTACTTCTGAATTCATCCATTTTGTATGTAGAAGTTACCTCACACCATGCATCAAAACTGGAAAAATATCAAGCACAGTTTCTATGGATACATAGTTTCAACATTCTCATGCCAACATTATCAATACACAAGCTACAAATATATTATCTACAAACTATGAAAATAACATCAAATATATACAGATTGAATAATACCTTGATAAAACATACTTCTAAAATACGAAAGAGCAAACCAACATACACTTCTACTATAGCTCAGATGATAGGGTAACCAAACAGAAATTAGAAGGAATTGGTTTAGAATCCTGATGAGGTACAATACATTTATTTTAATATGGATTGAAAATTTAGATACTGACTCCTCTGCTATAGTTTTTAAAGTTATTTATGACATACCAGTTACAATTGATCATATTATAAATTACTGCACATGGTAATGTAAATATGCAAATGTCCATGCAAATGCATGATAAATATGTAGAATTCTAAAGTATTCTAGTACATGAATTTTCAATCTTTTGGGATGTAGAAAATCCAAACAGTAAGCAGAATGCTTAATGATAATTAAAAATGTAAGTTATATAGTATACTAAATACATCAACGACCATTTTAGAATAAACACAAACAATTGTGTTTACCTTGAGGTATAGCCAATCGGTAGAGGCCTAAATGGGAATAAAATTACAAAATTCAATTGTGTTTTATATTAAGATATACTGTTGAAATAGAGCCAAAACACTAAAATTCAATATTGAATTGCAAACCACCATTTGCATATTTGAGTTAAATTGCTTTTAAATGAAAATTAGAACATCAGCAACTGATGTTTAAATTAGTTAAATTTTTGGTGTTTTCCAGACTGACAGTATATCTAAAATATTTTCTCACAATGACATTAATTGACCTGGTCATAACTTGTTAACAACAAAAAAAGAGTACTAATTCATAAAATACTGAACCTCTAATATTAATTTACCCAAATCATATGGAATGTGTCTTGCATTCTTACTTTTTTCAGACCAACCCATTTATCAAACTAAATTACCTCACACTTGTAATGGATATTTATATTATCTGGCATTGACATCATGCCTACAAAATGTCTAGCATGTCTACAATATAAAATTAATGTTCAAAAGTGATTCAATTCCAACTAGCATTGGCATGGAATGTCTGTATTCACTGTGAGTATCGTAGATGGTACAGATGAAAGGTTGATGGACCCTGTCTGGAGTGCAGTGGCATATCTACAAGTCTTGAAATGGGGGTGCTGATGGGAAGGGGGAAACAAAGGTGAAGTGGGAGGAGCTTGATTATCTGTTGAGGGGCGCTAATTCGCAATGCTAATTCGCAAAATAAGGTGATTTTTAACTACTTGACCATGCTTTTTTTGGGGGGGGGGGGGGGGCCCGAG